GCCTGGCTGCCTGGGGACTGAGGGAGGGAAGCAGCTAGCCCACGCAGTTCAGTTCAGTTTAGGATTGCCTCTGAATAACAACTGCAGAGAATCACAAATGGAAGAGAGCGATTGCACTCAAGTCCTGCTTGTGGGCTTCCCATGGCCACTGAGATAACTGATGCTGGACTAGGTGGATCTTTGGCCAAATACAGCAGAGCTTTTCTTATGAGGGTACCAGTTTGAGAAAGTCTGAACTACGCTGTATAGTTCAAACTCAACAAGATTTCTCCGAGCCCTTTAAGAATTGCCTGAGGGAGAATTTTGGTATCAGAAGTTCTACACCCTCATGTCCAAACGGCTGATGTAATGAGTTGAGTGGGGAGTGGAACTGATTTTTCTTCTTCTTGCTACTCAACTAACTGAAAGGCTTGTCAGATTAAAGCCAGCCTTAGAAATGTTATTCCTAGCACTGGACTCACCGACTGCAATGTCAATATTTGTGAACAGGGATAGGTCCTGCAAACTGCAGCTCTTCACCAAATGAACTACACCATAAGAATTCTGAGGATGCTGATTCATAGGCTCGGAGAGCTGGGAGAAACCTGAAATAGATCATCTAGTCTCACCTTCCCTGTCCCCAAAGCAGGAACATCTACCCACCAGTTCCCCTACTAATCAAGTGGACCCTTCCAGAGTCAAGCGATGTCTTCCAGACCACAGGCTATCACAATGGCAGGTGCGCTGCCACAGGTTGACTGTCGGGAGCAGAATGTTGGAAGGTTCTGGACTTTCAAGAGAAAGTGCTTACTCAGGCAGCCCATACTTAAATTATGGAATTGACTCTGAAATCGCTACAAGATCTGGTGATGGCCACCTGCTTGGATGGCTTTAAAATAGGATTCAACAAATTCATGGAGGACAAGGCTATCAATGACTCTTAGCCATTGATGGCTATGTGCTTTTGAATGCCAGTTAATGAAAACTGCAGGAGCAGAGAGTGTAGCTGTGCTCAGGTTTTGCTTGTGTGCTTCCTACGGGCATCTGGTAGGCCACAGTTAGAATAGGATGCTGGACTAGATGGTCCATTGGCCTGATCCAGCAGGCTCTTCTTATCTTCTTCTTTTTGTTGTTGTTTAGTCGTGTCCGACTCTTCGTGACCCCATGGACCAGAGCACGCCAGGCACTCCTGTCTTCCACTGCCTCCCGCAGCCTGGTCAAACTCATGTCCGTAGCTTCGAGAACACTGTCCAACCATCTCGTCCTCTGTCGTCCCCTTCTCCTTGTGCCCTCCATCTTTCCCAACATCAGGGTCTTTTCCGGGGAGTCTTCTCTTCTCATGAGGTGGCCAGAGTATTGGAGCCTCAGTTTCAGGGTCTGTCCTTCCAGTGAGCACTCAGGGCTGATTTCCTTAAGAATGGATAGGTTTGATCTTCTTGCAGTCCATGGGACTCTCAAGAGTTTCCTCCAGCACCATAATTCAAAAGCATCAATTCTTCGGCGATCAGCCTTCTTTATGGTCCAGCTCTCACTTATCTTCTTATAGTCTTAGATAATGGACAGACTTCCGGGTTGGCGCCACCGGCAATGGTGGAATTCCTCTGATCGGGAGGAATTTGCCTCGTGGAAATTCGGGTCTGGCCGCCACGGCGAAGGCGGAGACCCACTAAAAATCACAGGCGGGTGAAGCCTGTGAACGTGGGATTCGGGGGGCACCTTTGCGCCTCCCCTACTCGCGGGGAAACCCGGTTTCAGGGATCTGGAGCGACGTGGGGTGAGCGGCACGGTGCTTCGGATCGACTGCTTCTTCCACGGAGCGAAGCCGCATAGCTGTTGCCGGAGAGCGCTGACTTTTTCCTGTGGACAATTTGATCTTAAAGTAACTACCTGTGAGTAGAGTGAAGAATTGGATTTTTAAACGTCTTAATTTGGCACCAAAACGGGGAGGCTCAAAACAGGAAGTCCACCTCCCCTCTTTGTAAATAAGACTGAGGCAAAGAGGTTGCAAGCTAAAGTCTTGGAAAGCCTATTGTAAAGAACTAAATTCTCATCAGTAAAAAATATTAAACCCCCCTTGGAAGCAGGAGAAGAGGGGGGAGGCTTTGGATTGCGTATCCCTGCAGGAGTGAGCGAAGGAATTTAAAATACCACTGTTCCGAACCTGGAAACGGGCTGCTAGAAAGACCGATGTGTCTTGGACGGTTCATTGACAGTGAATAGAATGTTCAGTGACAGCTAGCATAAGAGAGAGAGATTGTTTCCATTATCTTCGTCTGTACTTAAAAAGGAGTTAAAGTAATGGAAAATTGAAACAACTTTATTGAACTTTATTAAAAAAGGAGGAAAGTAACTGAAAATTGAAACTAACTTTGGATTATTGAAACTGTGTTTAAAAGAGGACATACTGACTGATACAAATACAACTCGCTTTGCCCTAGTGGAAGCTTTTGAAATTGGTTATTTTATAGGAGCTGGGCTAGGGGAATTTCCAGCTGCAAGATTAAAAAGTGTGAGACTTTGGAATTGACCTTGAAGCTCTTAAGTGTTATGGCAAATGGAAAGGAAAAAACAGACGGGATGTCGACAGAGGAGGCCTTAGTGGCTGCATTATTGAAAATAAACGATTCGCTGGAACAACTCCACAAGAAAACAGATGTGATAAATGTGAAATTGGATGTTGCAAATATTGAAATTGATTCAACTCTAGAAAGTTTAAATAACTTGGGACAAAAGGTGAATACCAATTCAGAAACCACCCAGAAACTGACACAGGAATCTACTTTGATATGGCAAACTGCAGATGAAGTCAGGGGAAAAACCCTTGCTGCTGAATCTAAAGCGATACAACAGGAGAGGAGAGTCCCATCCATACAAAGACAACTTGATGAGCATAAGTTGACATTCGTTATGATTGAACTTAAAGAAGAACAGATGAATTTGAGGACCAGAGCCCTATCTGAATTGGACAAGGAAAGCTTGACAGAGTTTCAGGAGGCGATACTAACATTGGTTTGAGAAAGAGAGGTATTTGGGGGTTAGTATGACCGCCAAAAATGTGAATCTGCTTAAGGATAACTGTGAAGGATGTTGGATTGAAGAGAAGGGGGATTTGGAAATATGGACAAATCAGAAGTTGTTACTGTCGGGCCGAGTTTTTGTCGGGATGTTGCTTTTGTTTCAAATATTGCAAGCTTTGGATGGGATGGAGGGTTTCAGGAGGTGGCAGAGGGATGATCCTAGAGTTGTTTGGCAGGGCAGGAAGCCTCGAGTAAAATTTAAGATATTGATGGATGCCAAAGAAGGAGGTGGACCTGCCCTTTAAACTTTGTTGTGAACCATCTGCTTTTTGCTGGTTGAGCAAAGGCAGGGCCTTTTCAGTGGTGGTTCCCTGGTTGTGAAATGCCCTTCCTAGTGAGGTGTTCCTGTCTATAAGGAATTTGAAAACATCCCTGTTTGCTCAGGCCTTGCATGGCTGAGGAGTGTTGCTCTTGGCAATCTTGAGATCACTGTTTGGAAGTATGTTTTTACTTGTAGCTGCTTCTAGATCAGGGGTCGGCAACCTAAGGCCCATGGGCCACAAGTGGCCCACGGGGGTCATTTAACTGGCCCACGAGCCACCCCTGAACCGAGCCACCTGCTCAGTGAGTCCCCGCATGCTGTGCTAAACCAGCACAGTGCAGGAACTCGCTTCCGCGGCACTGGAAATCATGTTTGCGCAGACGCAGATGCCGGAAATCGCAGGCAGGCGCAATTACACACACACACATGCGATCCATCCCACAGAGGGATCTCCGCTGGAGTGAACTGGCCCAGGCAAGGTAAACCTGTTCTTAGGATATTTTAATCTATTTTAGCATTGTTTCTTTATAAATTGTAATCCATTTGCTACCCTGGGTTCTTTGGGGAAGGAAGAGTTGGATGATGATGATGATAATATTAATATTAATATTAATATTAATAATACTGTGTTGGTCCAAATATAAGCTGCACCTGCAAATAAGCCACCCCTTTAAAGTTCAAGGGGGGGGGGGAAGAAAAAAAGACAATACTCAAATATAAGCCGCTCCCTTAAAATTCCGCAGCCAACCACACCCATAAATGGCAAATGTAGAAGAAAACCCTACAGATATTATAAAAGCCAATTTTTGTAAGGTCGCGAATTTAAGACACACTTTAACTTTTCATGGTCGGAATTTGGAAAAAAAATGTGACTTATATTCAGGCCAATATGGGAATAATAATTGTAGCTCTCTCATTGTAAGGAGGAACCCAGTACTGTATTAAAGCACACCATTGGTCCATCTAGTTGATTGGTTGGCAATGGCTCTCCAGGGTTTCACACAGGGGGGTCTTTCTCAGCCCTATCTGCAAATGCCAGGGATTAAACCTGGGACCTTTGGCATACAAAGCTCTGCCATTATTGAGCTAGTCCAGATCCAGCTCAGGCTGCAATGCATCTTTCTTTGGTTTTCCTTCTTTCTTTCTCTTTGCTCAGTCCCCCAGGCCCTGCCAAGAGAAAGGCTTCTAGTATGTTGATTTTGTTTTCCTTTCCTTATGGGGGAGAACGATTTCGCACATAATTATAACAGCCGCAGAGAGATTGTGTGAAGAGCGCTTTACTGGAAATTGCAAGAGAATGAACAAGGAAAAGCCTGTTTTTTTTAGCGTCAGCAACTGGGAGAAAGACTCCAGACTGCAAGTGGTTGGAGGAGAAGGACAATGCGTGGTGTTCAGGCTGCAAGAAAGGAACCCTTCAAGGGAGTGAGGTAGGTCTTCCAGGTGCTGAGATGAACTGAGCCAGAATGGACCACAGCATTGGCCCGATACCTCTGCTGGGTATTAGGGGGTTGCTTTTTGCAAGAGGCCTCCATCACGATTGTGTGCAAAGAACAGAGGATTGTCCCTTGCATCAGTGAGGTACCAGATATACTCTTCTCTGCCTGTGGGCTACAGCAGTGGTGGCTGATGTCCATTGGGACTCATATGATGGAAGGCAGGGAGCCCGACAGTAGGGGGCACTGCAGCCAATGACAGGTGGAATCTACTATTTCTCATTTTGACCCCATTCTCCTCCCTGCTGATTTCTTCAAGGGGCAATACTGAGACTACGAAGGAAGAGGAATAATAATAATAATAATAATAATAATAATAATTTTTATTTATACCCCACCCTTCCCAGCCAAGACTGGGCTCAGGGCGGCTAACACCAGGTATAAAAACAATTGATTAAAATGCAACTTAAAAACAAGATTAAAATACATTAAAACAAAGCCTCATTTCAGTAGAAACTCAAATCAAAAACTTTTTGGGGATGAAAACCTCAAATCTTCACCAAGGCCAACAATCCAGACTGGTCCTACGTCTGCCAGAAAAAAAAGCCAGGGAAGTCCCCAAATAGGAATTCCATCACAGAAGGAGAAAGGAAAAAGGAAAGAGGGGGAGGGGATCAAGTTGATTCCAAGCCAAAGGCCAGATGGAACAACTTTGTGTTACAGGCCCTGCAGAAAGAAATCAGATCCTGCAGAGCCCTGGTCTCATGAGACAGAGCGTTCCACCATGCCAGAGCCGGAAGCTGATAGTGTCACCCTCTAGTCTGCACCCCATAGACCAGCCCCCACTGCAGTACATGATGGCAAACTAGCACACCCTGTGGGAATCACTGGCCTTGATGTTGCTAATACTTCTTCTCTGCTAACAAAGAGGTTCTTCTCCTGCCCATCTCTGGTCACCTGGTATGTTTTAGGGTGAGACTGTGTGCGTGAACATCAGACACTTGGGTTGCTGTAGTGTCTGCATCCCCACTTCTCCCTCCAAGCCACATAGTTTGCTTTCATGTCTGGAGTTTTGAGGTAGGAGTCTTGGCAGAAACAAGGAAAAGATTCCCAAAGAGCAAAAGTGGAGTTCGAAAAGTAAGAGCAATGCCAACTCATTGGATTTTTTTTACGTGCTTGCTTCTGGCCTCTCAGCAGCTCCGCTTTGCTGCTTCGCAGTAAGTTGGGTGTCAGCTTTCTCTCTCTTTAATAATAATAATGATTTTATTATTTATACCCACCCATCTGGCTGGGTTTCCCCACCCACCCTGGGTGGCTCCCAGGGTGATATTAGAATATTAAAAACACGATAAAACATCAAACATTAAAAACTTCCCTAAACAGGGCTGCCTTCAGATGTTTTCTAAAAGTCAGATAGTTGTTTATTTCATTGACATCTAATGGGAGGGTGCCACTACCAAGAAGGCCCTCTGCCTGGTTTCCTGTAACCTCGCAGCGAGGGAACCACCAGAAGGCCCTCGGAGCTGGACCTCATACATCCTCAAACATACGTCCTGCAGGATCTGTCTGAGGTGAATTTGTACACCATTTCCCAAGCCCGGAGCTGTAGAATTGTAAAGGACCCTGAGGATCATCTAGTCCAATGCAGGAATCTGCAGCTGTCCCGTATGGGGATCAAACCTGCAACCTTGGCATATCAACACTCTAACCCAGACCCTCCAGTGTCCCTATTTTCCAAGGACATCCCTGATTTAGAGAAGCCATCCTGGTTTCTGATTTGATCCCAGAATGTCCCGCTTTTCCTTAGGATGTCCCTATTTCCATTGGAGAAATGCTGGAGGGTATGGAGTTATGCAACCCCTGATCTGTCTGAAGGCAATCCTATATAGGGAAGGGTTTTTTTAATGTTTTCATGGCAGAAGTAAGAGACCTCAGGTGTGAGGTCCAAGTGTGGCCCTCCAGACCTCTCTAATCTGGCCCTCAAAAAATCTTCAGAGGCTACTCCGTCAGAGCCCTGCTGCATAGACTTCTCAAGTGCTTTCACCTGACTGGAATGTATCCTTGAACTAGCGCCAGCCTGCCCATAAGCCCCGCTGAGGCAGTCACCTCAGACGGTAGGCTGGGGACAGCTTTAAGGCACAGCAAATCTGGAAAGGGAGGAGCATCCTCATGTGTAGTGCTGGTTTTATGTATAGGCTAAGTAGGCTGAAGCCAAGGGTCTCTAAATCTAGGAGGCCTCACCAGCCCACCCACTTCCCAGCGGGCAGTCTCCCCTCTCCCCAAACTGCAAACCCAAGACTTCATGCGAGGACAGGGCAACTTGGGCCTCTAAATCTAGGGGTGCTAATGTCTAAATCTAGTGCTAATGTCTGGCCAGGGTGAAAGTGGTCATCCTCTTATATACCTGCTTTGATTGACAATGCATCTGACCCTCACCTGAATCTTATAACTCTCATGACAGGTGATTTGGTCTGCAGTCAGTGTGGAAATAAAGAATGAGATTGCCCACCAGATTCCAGGCACTCTACTATTCAAATTAGGCCCCAGTGTTTTTGTTACAATCCCCTTCTCAGTTAAGTAATCAATTTTAATCTAGAATTTAAATTCTCAAAATGTTCTTATTTGTTAATTCGAGCAAGTAAACTACTGCTCTCACTTCATTACAAACAGTATTTCTACCTGCAACACACTTGAGAGAACCTGCTCCTCTTCCTTTCACAGATATTTTATTGCCATTTGCAACTGTAGATGCCTCTGATTAGTTATCATTTAACTCTTTGGGGAAATAATTAGCATCACACGTCATATGCATGGAAGTTGCCAAACCAATTACCAGCTAGAAGGATTACTATGAATAGCACCAGGTTTCCTATAACTTGATATTGCTGGATAGTTTTGATGAACTGCAAAACATTTTTAGTTTGCTTTCTGTTGCCACCCTGGAACTTTTCTTTATTAGTGCCACTTTGTTTTGTACGATTCCTTGCAAATGAAGGAAAACAACTTTTCTGCTTGTTTATGTTGATAATATAATTTTGGTTACTGAGAACAAACAAGATTGTACAAAAACAAGATTGGGTGCAGGCCTAGCCAGGACATAGGCGTCCTGACTGTGACAAAGGTGAGCTGTGTGCTTGCTTGCTTGCTTGCTTGCTTGATTAACAGCTGCTGGGAACTTCAAGGTCCCTGCTCTCCCTTCTTATGGCCTTTTTACTGGACCTGGAGGCTCCAATAGAGAGCATTCAATGTCAAGAAGGAGGGCAAGTGGGCACCCTATCAAATGACAGGGCAGGAGCTACACGGAACAGTGTAGCTCTGCGGGGGTTTTTTTTAAGAATAACATTACAACTTCATTTTCCTAAAAAATAATGCTTATTCCACAAAAGGTTTAAAAAGTTCAGTTATTGCCAAAGTTTTTCGGTGTTAATTTTATGCAACTTTTAAAAATCACCATGGTATTTAACAATAATATCTTATGTTTGTCTGGCAGGGCAAGAAGCCCAGAATAAAATTTAAAATATTAACTGATGCAAAGGACAGAGGTGGATTTGCCCCGCCAGACCTTAAACTTTATTATGAATCAGCAGCATTCTGCTGGTTGAAAGAATGGCTGCTTCTTGAGAACACAGACATTTTGGACTTAGAAGGTTTCAATAACGTTTTTGGGTGGCATGCATATTTGTGGTATGACAAGGTTAAAGCACATAAAGCATTTAAAAACCATATTGTTAGGAAAGCATTGTTAAATGTCTGGATAAGATATAAGGACTTACTTGAAAACAAAACCCCAAGGTGGTTGTCACCGATGGAAGCAAAGGCTCAGAAAAAGCTCAATATGGAGGCCAAATGGCCGAAATATTGGGAAATTCTGGAACAAGAAGGAGACAAATTGAAATTGCAGAGTTTTGAGAAATTAAAAGACAAAGTGCGAGACTGGCTTCATTATTATCAGATAATGGAGGCATACAATTTGGATAAGAAAATTGGATTCCAGGTGGAAAAATCAAAACTAGAAACAGAACTGTTAGAACCCAAAACTAAGATTTTGTCAAAGATGTATAACTTGCTGTTGAAATGGAATACTCAGGATGAAACAGTGAAATCTGTTATGATTAAATGGGCACAAGATGTTGGACATAATATTATGTTTGCTGACTGGGAACAGTTGTGGACTACAGGTATGAAATTTACGGCATGTAATGCCCTAAGAGAGAATATTATGAAAATGATATACAGGTGTACATGACCCCAGTCAAGCTTGCAAAAATCTATCATTTGCCCGATAATAAATGTTGGAAATGTAAAGAAACTGAAGGTACATTCTTTCACCTTTGGTGGACGTGCCCAAGGATTAAGGCTTTCTGGGAGATGATCTATAATTAATTGAAAAAGGTATTTAAATATACCTTCTTGAAGAAACCCGAGGCCTTTCTCCTGGGCATAGTCGACTAATTGGTGCCAAAGAAGGATAGAACTTTCTTTATGTATGCCACAACAGCAGCAAGAATACTTATTGCAAAGTATTGGAAGACACAAGATCTACCCACCTTGGAAGAATGGCAGATGAAGGTGATGGACTATATGGAACTGGCAGAAATGACTGGCAGAATCCGAGACCAGGGAGAAGAGTCGGTGGAAGAAGATTGGAAAAAGTTCAAAGATTATTTACAGAAATATGTAAAATTAATGAATGTTAGAATGATGTTGGATAGAAACTAAGTGGTTTTTAGCTGTAATGTTGTAAGGGAATATGAAAAAATGGACTATTATTAGGCAAAAATCTAATGTTACAATACCTTAAGATTGAAGACTAGGATAAATAAAGAGGGGAGGGATTTGCTGAACTAACAAACTGAACTGGAATACAGAAAAGGGAGGCGTGAGGAGGTCCGGGAAATAAGCAAATGAAAGATAAGTGACTGAAAGATTGAATTGTTTTTAACTATTTTTATTTTGTATTTTTCTTTTTTCTTTTTCTATTTTGTAATATTTTGAAAATCTTAATAAATATCTTTTTTTTAAAAAAAAAAAATATATCTTATGTCCTTTAGAGGAGAAATTGTGAATTGCAGAATTTTAAATACCCGTCATCATCCTTGCCTTTGCTCAGTTTTGTTTGTAACACTCTTCCATTTTCTTTGAGTTGTGAGGGTGGGGGATGAGGAGGGGTCTCACAAGTGGAGTAGCCTAGGGCCTCTCTTCATCTACTGTATTTTTCGCTCCATAAGACGCACCTGACCATAAGACGCACCTAATTTTTAGATGGGGAATGCAAGGGAAAAAAATATTCTTTAAAGGGAGCGCTGAGCAGAGCCTGTATGCATCCCAGGCTCTGCTCAGCGCTCCCTTTCATGAGCCGCGTGGAGCGTGTGTGCGGTGCTTACAGGCTTTTCCCCAAGGAGGGAGAAGGGCAGCCCGTCACTTTTCTGGGAGGTGGGGGAAGAGACAGAGCACGGCTAAGCCAGAAGCTAGAACAGAGAGAGGGAGCACAGTGATCCCTCTCGCTGTTCTGGCTTCTGGGATAGCTGTGCAGCCTGCATTCGCTCCATAAGACGCACACACATTTCCCCTTACTTTTTAGGAGGGAAAAAGTATGTCTTGTAGAGCGAAAAATACAGTAAATCTGGCCCTGCTCACATGCCTTTGCCACTCCTCCTCTGGCTGAGGATAGGAGCCTCTGCCACTGCCATCCCAGTCACCCCCTGAGCAGGAAGGTCACTCTGCTGCTGCCTGCTCTTCTCTGGTCTCCTTTTTTCTTCCTTGTCATCTTTAGCACACAGGCCACCTCCAGTTGCCTCAGGCAGCTCTGCCACTGGAAAGAGCACAGGGAACACCATTTTCTGATTTGCCTCAAGCAGCAAAATGCATTGGGCCAGCCGTGCCTTGGGGAACCTGCCAGCGACAGTGCTGCCTGTATCTTGAGCAAGCAGAAGGAAAATTCAACATTAACTTTTTTTTAGTTTCATAGTGTGCCTCTGGGTTTTCATTCGAGATAGCTGGGCCTCAGTGATCAGACGTCAAGGTTCAAGCTCTTGCCATCAATCCTCCTAATGAACAGTGTGATTGTATTTACATAGAAACAATTTCTCAAGGAAGTGCAAAATGTGCTGATCTCAATGGTTCAGCCGCTCTTCATCTTCAGAGTGGGGTGGATAGCAGTTCTGGATGTCTTGTCTCAGGTACCTGAGCCAGGAAGCTGATGTCCACAAGAACCTGGCAGGGAAACAGCAATTCCTGGGACACCTATTTCAGAGAAGAACAGGAAGTCCTGGCCTGCTTGCTTAACAGTGAACTCCTGCTGTACAGCTTTAGGACACCCTCCCTGCACTCTGATGACTGCAAGAGCTGTTTGCTGCCCAACACTTTCCAATGCACAATCTAATTCTACTTCCACTTTGCCAAACCTTTATTAGGCATTACAAGTACAGTGGTACCTCTGGTTACATACTTAATTCATTCCAGAGGTCCATTCTTAACCTGAAACTGTTCTTAACCTGAAGCACCACTTTAGCCAATGGGCCTCCTGCTGCCGCCGCGTCGCCAGAGCACGATTTCTGTTCTCATCCTGAAGCAAAGTTCTTAACCCCAGGTACTATTTCTGGGTTAGCAGAGTCTGTAACCTGAAGCGTATGTAACCTGAAGCATATGTAACCCAAGGTACCACTGTATAGGCCATCATAAAACATCCATATATAAAAATTAAAAATACAGTGGTGCCCCGCAAGACGAATGCCTCGCAAGACGGAAAACTCGCTAGACGAAAGAGTTTTCCGTTTTGGAGGTGCTTCGCAAAACGAAGCTCCTATGGGCTTGCTTCGCAAGACGAAAATGTCTTGCGAGTTCCTGCAGTTTTTTTCCCCTTCCCCCCCCTTTTTCTAAGCCGTTAAGCCGCTTATCTGCTTATCCGATAAGCTGATAAGCCGCTAAAAGCCGCTAAAAGCCGCTAATAGCGCTAATAGCGCTAATCCGCTAATCCGTCAATGGGCTTGCTTCGCAAGACGAAAAAACCGCTAGACGAAGAGACTCACAGAACGGATTCTTTTCGTCTTGCAAGGCACCACTGTATATACAATACAGTTGTACTTTGGAAGTCAAATGGAATTAGTGCCGCAAGTCCGTCCAACTTCCAAAATGTTTGGAAACCAAAGCGTGGCTTCCGATTGGCTGCAGAATGTTAAAGCTCCAAAGAACGTTCGCAAACCGGAACACTCACTTCTGGGTTTGTGGTGTTCAGGAGCTAAAACGTCCTAGTACGAAGGCATTTTGGGATCCAAGGTACAACTGTAAATACAAATAAACAGCCATTTCTTCCTGCTAAGTAGCCAATGCACAATCAACCTCTTTTGGCCCAAAGGTATTTCATTTATAGGTTGTGGGTCTCTCTCTTGCAGAGTCATTCCTCACCCCCAAACAGCCTTATGCCTCTTCTAATCCTTTCAGTGGTAGAGCACATGCTTTGTATGCAGGAGATCCTGAGTTCACATCCAGTGTTAAAGGGATCACATAGCAACTGCCTAAGACAGTTTGCCCCCTGTGGCAGAGGAGCAAATGGCTCTCCATCACAGTCCCAAGGTGCAGAACTCCCAAGGCCAGTCAATTTATTGTGGCAGGTGAAGCAGAAAACTTCACAAGCACCTCCCAGTGCATGGCAGTAAAAACCTAACAAGAATTTGCTGGCCTTTCACAACACTTCAAATCTACCACCTGAAGCATACTTCTGCCTAATGGTAGAGCCGGCCCAGGAAAGAACTTTCTCTGCCAACTGGACACATGGAAAATGGTCGCCACCTGTACAAAATTTAGATTTTTAAAAAATAGATCAGAGAACGGGTAATGTGAACATAAGATGCCTATTCAACTATAGTTTGTTTTTAATTCTGAACTATTATTATTAGAAGCTTAGAATTGTAGAGTTGGAAGGGACCATGAGGGTCATGTAGTCCAACCCCCTGCAATGCAGGAATCTTTTTCATAAGGTGGAGCTTGAAATCACAACCCTGAGATTAAGAGTCTCATGCTCTACCAACTGAGTAACCCACCTTTCCCCAGACCAGGACATAAGGGGGCTTACGCAGTTTAAAACAACACAGATGAAATGAAATAAAACACTATAAACATATAAAAGATCATGGTTCGAAAGGCATTACACTCCTATAGAATTAAAACAATATAAAAATAAGCGTACGAAAATACAGATAATAACATCAGCACAGCACTATTAAAAGCTCTCTCCTTCCCAATGGCCTGTCAGAATAAAACTGCCATCACTTGCTCGCTGGAAGACAAGGAGGGAGCCAGCCTAGCTTCTCAAGGAAGGAAATTCCAAAGTCTGGGAGCAGCTACTGAGAAGGCCCTCTCCTGTGTTCCCTGTGCATGCCTGTGAGGGTGGCAGGACTGAGAATCAATCTCAGAGCCCGGGCAGGCTTGTATGGGAGAATATGATCCTTCAGATAGCCTGGACCTACAGTTGCATAGCCAAATTTTAAATTGTTGCAATGCGCCCTAAAATCTACTGGTTAATAGTGGGTAGTCAAAAAATGACAATGAAGGAGGAGGAGGAGGAGGAGGAGAAGGCATCCCTTTTTCTTTTGGCAATGCATGAGTCATTAGGACTCACATTAGGAGCATATGAAAGGATCTCCTATGCAAATACAGCTCTCTACTCATGTACATGCCCCATTCATGTGTTCCACTGAACGCCCAGGCATCATGGGCAGGGCTGCCATATGTCTGGAATCTGCTGGACGTAGCCAGGATTCGCCCTTCGAAAATGGCGTCTGGGCGAAATTTTTAAAAAGCAGCTAATGGCGTATGGAAGTGTTGTTAGCCCAGGTTACCCAGGTTGTTCTTTTCCTTAAAAAATAGGTAAAGACTTCTCCTTTTTTGAGATTTTGCACGCACAAAAAACTAATCACCTTTGCCAAAAAAGAAGCTCAGTAACCCTAATCATGGGACAAGGCCAGAGGGACGTGCTGACATTCAGGAGTAGGGCTCCTTGGCGCTGTGGCTTTGCGCCCTGCTCAGGTATTCACCGAACCCATGTTTGTGTGTCAAGGAGCATGGTTGCGCAAGCACATTTGAACAGAGGGAACTTGCTTGTGGGATTTTCCGCCCTCACCCAGTTCCATTTTATTTGTTGCAGAGAACCCTGGTACTTTTCCATTCCCCCTGGAGTGCATGAGGCGAGGGCCTGCGTGCAGTCATTTAACCGAGTCAAAGCCATACACCGCCTCAGAGCCTTGTAACCTGGCCTGGCCCCAGCAGTCAGGTTTGTCCTCCACACATCATTCCCTCTGCCCTCGGACTTATTTCCATCTTCTAGCAGGGCAGGGTTTTGGAATGCAGCTGAGGCGTGGCTCTCCTCGCTGGAGATGAAGATGTCAACTGCTGACAGGACTTAAAAGAAGTGGAGGAATTTAGCAAGGCGGGAGTAAAATTCAACACTCTGGAGGGACTGTGAAAGCTGCTGGAATGTTTTGAGGGTCTTCTTGGGAGTTGTGCCACAGTATCAACCAGGTCATAGATAGGGATGGGCAAATCTGTACCATTTGCTTTCTCTACAATTGTCATTTTCCCCATCTTAAATTCAGTTCTCCACATTTCCACATCAGGTTGATTTTTTTTAGAAAATGTGTGAATTTCGAAGGATGGCTGCATACCCTCCAACATTTCTCTGATGAAAAAAGGGATGTCCTATTCAATGATATTATTATTAATAATAATAATAATAATGATGATGATAATAATAATACCATGCCTATCTGACCTGGGTTGCCTCAGTCACTCTGGGTGGTTTACAATATATATAGGTAAAGGTAAAGGGACCCCTGACCATTAGGTCCAGTCGTGACCGACTCTGGGGTTGCAGTGCTCATCTCGCTTTATTGGCCAAGGGAGCCGGCGTACAGCTTCCGGGTCATGTGGCCAGCATGACTAAGCCGCTTCTGGCGAACCAGAGCAGCGCACGGAAATGCCGTTTACCTTCCCGCCAGAGCGGTACCTATTTATCTACTTGCACTTTGATGTGCTTTCGAACTGCTAGGTTGGCAGGAGCATGGACCGAGCAATGGGAGCTCACCCCGTTGCAGGGATTCGAACCACTGACCTTCTGATTGGCAAGCCCTAGGCTCTGTGGTTTAACCAACAGCGCAACCCGTGTCCCTTACAATATATATATAAACATAATTAAACATTAAGCATTTTTAAAAAAAATCCCTATTCAGGGCTGCCTTCAGATGTCTTCTAAAGGTTGTATAGTTATTTATCTCCTTGGCTTGGGGAGGTCACATAACTCCATACCCTCCAGCATTTCTCTGATGAAAATAGGGACATCCTAAGGAAAAGCTGGGCATTCCAGGATCAAATCAGAAACCGGGACAGCTTCTGTAAATCTGGAACTGTCCCAAGAAAATAGGGACACTTGGAAGGTCTATGGCTGTGTTTCAGTTCTCATATTATTTTAGAAAATCCGAATTAGACAGATTCACCTTTAAATGCAACCTGGATCTTACTCATCTTCCATCCAGAGATGAAGATATATTTGAGATGCACACTGGCCTTTTGGTTAACTTTGGTTGATTTTTCTCTTTCATTGGTGAAGGCCAAAAATGGGTTAACAGATGAAGTTTGGGAAAGTGGTTAAGAAACAATGTCCAGTCACCCTTCCTGCCCAACCACAGCTTAGCTTGTTGGGCGTTTCTTCCCCTCCTTCCCTGTTTCTATTAGTACTGGTCCTCTCCTTGGGAACACTGTGTTGCTTTTAATTGTGAACGGTTGAGGTGTCATCCAAACGGCTGTGGAAAATACAGGTGTCCTGCTTTATGACTTGTGAGGCTTACAAGGGAATGACTCAGATGCATCATGGTAACAGGAGGAGCTGAGTGAATGAGCTATAGAATGAAGCTCACTGCTCCTAATTCCGTTGGGGGAAAATGTGAAAGCACGCCCACATTAACTGTTGGGCAAAGTAGGGCAAAGTTGTACCATACCTTGAAAGGACATTCAATGCTTGTCACTTCCCCAAAAGAATCCTGGGAATTGTAGTTTCCCCTCACAGACCTACAATTCCCAGCATCCTTAGCAAAATTCCAGTTCCCAGAATTCTTTGCAGAAAGCCCTGTGCTTTAAATGCCTGTTGAATGCTTCAGGTGAGACACTGCTCACACACCCCTGTCTAGTGTTTTACCTTTCTTTACTGCATTCAAATTCCGCCCCCCTCCCATGGTATTTAATTTAATATCAATTAAATTTGAAAGGCTGACATGTACAGATAACAAAAGACAAGGAGGGAAGGAGGAAGAATTAAAGTGCGACACACAGACGGTGGAGCAGAGCAACCAGCAACCAGCAGCAAGGAAAGAAACAGCATTTTGGAAAATGGTGTGGCCACATATTACTTACATTTGATGAAAGAAAACAAGCTAAAAAATGTTTTAATTGACAAGTATGACCTGTGACGTTTTAGAATGACATATCTGACATCGTTCTAAAAGGGGGGAATAATGTTAATAATAATAATAAATTTTATTTATATCCTGCCCTCCCCAGCTGAAGCCGGGCTCAGAGCGGCTAACAAAAATAAAATAGTACAACATTCTAAAATCATTTCATTATAAAAGTAATTCAAATCAAATTGATGGCAACCATTGGGCCAAAGTTCTGTGAAGATTGCCAAAGGAGGGAGTCAGGCTGTGCCCTGACCAAAGGCCTGGTGGAACAGCTCTGTCTTGCAGGCTCTGCGGAAAGATTTGGCCTTCACCAATGAAAGAGAAAATCAACCAAAGTTAACCTGGATCAACAGGTTAGTGTAGATCCAGCCTTGGCAAGAAAGAAGCATCATCATAGTTCATACAGAACTAGCGAGGGATGTGGCTTGGGATCATTCTGAGGGCCAGGAAAAGAGACCCCGAGGGCCACATTTCAGCCCTGTGCCTGAAGTTCCTCACCCTGCCTTTGGAGATGTAGGGTAATTGACCCTAGAGAAATTCCATTCCTTTTTATTAGTGACTTATTTGCTTATTATTTATTTCATAAAATTGATATGCTGTTTGGGTTTTTTTTAAGCCTCAAAGCAACTTACAAAAAGAATAAAACAATGGAATCATCAGTAAATAAATAAATAAATAACCAGTTGGTAAATTTGAGAAAAGAAGAAAATCAGCAATAAACTGGAAATCAGATCAAAATGCATGCCAACAATTTGCATGTCTGGATAGCCTTGCTTAAATAAAAATGTTTTTAATGCTGATCATTGTTTTGTTGATTTCTAGGGAGTCTAGTTCTCTCCTTTTTTGTTCTATAAGTTTGAGGAGTTTTTTAGATCCTGTTTGTTTGTAGCATAATGAGAGGGCTGTGATGTCTTGTTCTATATTGCTAATTTTTGAAGAGGTTTGTTTTTTAAGAAATGCTTTATCTTTTCCACAAGCTCCTCTTTGCGTCCCACAGGAGAGGGGTTGTTATATTGTCTACAACGTATCTTTGCAGATTCACCAATTTCTTATCAAAAATGTTTTTAAGAGTACAGTGAAGGTGCCTGCATGATGTCAACAGGCAAGGAGTTCAAAGGGTGGGCGCTGGCATGCTAAAAGTTCAGTTTCTTACAAAGGTAGGACAAGTATTATGTGTCACCTGCAACAGCTCCAGTTCCGCAGATCAGAGTGGTCCATTGGGCATATATAAGGTAAGGTGAAGTCACAGGTGATGTGTTCCCTCTTTCTAGGCAAAGCGTCATTGGGCAATCCAACCCCAACAGAAAGCTCTATTAGTCAGGTCAAGCATCCTTCTGCATGGAGAAAGGCCTCCTGTGACAATATGGGACAAGCTCTGCTTTCCTTGGCTGCCAGTCAGTGCCAGATTTATGTACAAGCTAAACAAGCTCTGGCTTAGGGCCCCACTCTCTTGGGAGGCCCCCAAAAAATTAAAGGGGAAAAAACTGGATGTACCTTTCCAGAATATAAGATAAAAAACAAATAAAATAAAGCCTACTGTCAGGGAACTGCCATCGGAAGGAAGGGAGGTGAAAGGACTCAGACAGGTTGGAAGAGACTCAGCAGCTGAACAGGGAACCAGCAAGGGGAGAGAAGCTGAACTGAGGGAGGTGAAAGGGCTCAGACAGGTTGGAAGAGACTCAGCAGCTGAAGAGGAAACCAGCAGGGGAGAGAAGCTGAACTGAGGGAAAGGGAGCTGGGGGATGGCTCAGAGATACTTCCAGCGAAAACAGTGGTGAGGTTTCCGGACCTCCTGTAGGGACACCCACTCCTCGCCGGAAACTGTCACGCAGAGAGTCCAGAAGACGTGTTTCCGTTAAGGAGCTTTTATGTTGGAAGCGATTACGAAAGCAACCACTGTCGGAATCTTCTAGTGACTAGAGGAGCCATGTCAGAGGGGCTCCGTCACAGACAGAGGTTTGTGGACTTGAACAAACACTGAGGGAATACGATTTTACGCACAAGCAGCTCATCTTCCCATCACAGCATTCCGACAGTCTTTGAACGCAGCTTGTGCAGGAGAAGGCATAATGAGCAACCCAGCAGGAACCGGAGAAGCAGGGGCTGGAGCGGGTCCAAGCCTGGAAGAAAGGTACCGGGTGTTGGAGGTCCAGCTGGCGCTGCAGACGGCGAGGCTGGAGGAGAGGAGGGCTCAAGATGCAGACAAAGGGAGAAAGCCACCCAGCTCGCCAGAAAGGTACCAGGATTGGTGCAGAAATTTGGGGGAGCCCAAAGACTATCATAGCTTTGGACAGAAATGCAATATGCCCTCAATCTGCAGTTTGATGATTTCCTGATGAGGAATCACGAGTGGCTTTTGTGATTGGGCATCTTGAAAAGGGGGCGAGAGACTGGGTTAGACCCCTGATGGCAGCGCATAGTGACGTCCTAAAGGACACGATGAAGTTCTTTCGCGCCATGGATCTGATGTTTTCCAGCGATATTGAAAAGGGAGTGGTGCGCAGACAGTTAATGGCTTGCAAACAGGGGAGCCGATCTGTACGTGAGTACTGGACTGAGTTCACCATGCTGATACACAGATTGGGGTGGGACTTATCGGCGGAACCCATTCAAATGCTCTTTGAAGAAGGGCTTTCTTCGGCTGTGAAAGATGAACTTTCCCGGGCGCCCAGGGCGGAGTCTATGGACCAGCTGACCAAATCAGCGCTGGCCATAGGAGCGCGCCAGGAGGCGAGAGCATTGGAGAGGCGGGAAGGGAAAGGGGAACGTTGGAAGGAGTTCCGCATTCCAGACATTCCAGAGCCAACTTTCCCGCCGGCAGAGCCGATGGAAATCGGAACAGGCGCGCGCGCGCAGTTTCAAAGCCCAGTGAGGGGGGGAAAAAGGAGGGAAAAGGCGCCCGGAAATGCTATCTCTGCCAACAGCCAGGGCACTTTGCCAGAGTCTGCCCCCAGAGGAAGGAATGGCAAGGGATGGTGGGAGCTGTGGAGGGAAGAGAGGAAAAATACCGGAGCAACTAAAAGCCAACGCCTGGCTGCCATTGTCGGGGCACAGCAGCCAGGCCAAAGAGCAGTGAAAGTGCCCACGCCAGAACCTCCTAAACCCGCCCTAGTGATAGAAGTGACACTAGAGCTGCCAAACGGACACCCTCTAAAGATAAAGGCGCTGTTGGACTCAGGCAGCTCCTGCAATTTCATGAGCAAAGAGTTTGCAGCTGAACACCAGATACAGACGCTCCCTTTAAGCAACCCCTGCAGGTAACCACGATCGATGGCAGGGAGCTGTTGGGAGGAGAAGTCAGCTTGCAGACCGTCCCAATGATAATGAAGGTGGCAAGGCACACCGAACTAATAGCATTTAATGTGGCCACCTTGGGAGGAGCTCCCATTATATTGGGGATGAGCTGGCTAGCGTTACATGATCCGCTGGTGGGCTGGCATCAAAGAGTGGTTTCTTTTGGGTCAGCACATTGCTTAGAACACTGCAAAGAGGGAAAGGTTTTGGCAGGGGCCCAAGCCACCCTAGCAGGGACTGAAGTAACGGAGAACGTGAAGGTACCACGACAATACGCAGATCTCCGCGACGTCTTCAGCGAAAGGGAAGCTGACCAACTACCACCGCATAGAGCCTTTGACTGTCAAATCAATTTGCTCCCTGGGGCACAGCTCCCTGTGGGCAAGCTGTACGCCATGTCAGACAGAGAGATGCAGGAGCTAAGAGAGTTCATTGACAAGAACCTGAAGAGAGGGTTCATCAGAGAGTCCAGGGCGGTGGGGCAGCCCAGTGTTTTTGTGGACAAAAAAACACGAACAAGCCGAGACTGGTGTGTGACTTCAGGGCCTTAAATGCAGTGTCAGAACCAGTGGCCTTCCCGATGCCCAGGATTGACGACATTTTGACAAGGGTGCGGAAGGGAAAGATTTTCACCAAGCTGGATCTAAGGGGGGCGTACAACCTGATACTGAATAAGGAAGGGGGATGAATGGAAAACCACCATGTTCACCCCTTTAGGGGCATTTGAATACTTAGTTATGCCCTTCGGTCTACAAGCAGGCTCCGCAACATTTCAATCGTTTATGAACCACGTCCTGGGGCCGTTGCTTTACAAGAATTGTGTGGCCTTCTTAGACGACGTGTTGGTGTATTCTGAGAATGAGGAGCAGCATGTGAGAGACGTCAGAGAAGTGTTGAGCAGGCTGCAAGCCAACCAGCTGTGGGTGAAACTGGAGAAGTGTCAGTTTCATACCAAGGAGGTGGAATTCCTGGGGTATCGCCTGTCTGACAAGGGGTTGGCCATGGATCCCGGCAAGGTCCAGGCGGTACTGGAATGGAAAACACCCAAAACAAGGAAGGATGTGCAGAGGTTTTTAGGATTTGGGAACTTCTATCGTAAGTTCATCCCAAACTTTGCCCACCTGACGGCGCCCATTACGGACTGTCTCAGCAGTAAGAAGAAGTTCGTTTGGACGGAGGAGGCGGAGCAAGCATTTGAGGAACTAAAAGGGCCTTCGCCTCGGAACAACAGCTCCTGCATGTGGATTTACAAAACCGATGAGAGTGGAAACTGACGCATCAGACAGAGCG